AAAGATTTTATTTATTTATTTGACAGTGAGAGAAGGAACACAAGCGGGGGGTGGGGGTGGGAGAGGGAGAAGCGGGCTCCCTGCTGAGCAGGGAGCCCAACGTGGGGCTCGATCCCAGCACCCTGGGATCATGACCTGAGACGAAGGCAGATGCTTAACGACTGAGCCACCCAGGAGCACCCCCCCCCTTTTTTTTTTAAAGATTTTGTCAGAGCGAAAGAGCGTGCGCACAAGCAGGGGAAGAGGCAGGCACAGGGAGAAGCAGCCTCCTGCTGAGCAAGGAGCTCGATGCTGGGCTCAATCCCAGGACCCTGGGATCATGACCTGAGCTGAAGGCAGATGCTTAACGACTGAGCCACCCAGGCGCCTCTTCTTCTTCTTTTTTTTTTTTAATGCCTTATACAAACTCTCTTTGGATATGAGCATTTTTCATGTTAGTATATATAGATCTACCTCATTCTATATTTGAATGTACAACATTAAAGTTTCCCTAGTCACAGTACATTGAATATACCATTATTAGTAGCACTTACATTACCATCTTAATCAGCCCATCATTCACTAAATCAGAGCTACTGGTGTGCCCAACTTACTGATACCAGTCCTATTCTTTTCATATAAACTGCACAAATAACCTCCTTTATTCAGGTTTTCTGTCCTTTATTTCCCATAATTACTACTCAAACTACATGCCCTCATTTTTTAGTTACAGTTGAAATAAGGTTAAAATTTCAATTAGGTTTTTTAAAAAAAATTGTATTATGTAAGTTTTAATAATACTTTGACCAAATGTTTTAATTTACTTTCTTCCATGGGAAATTTGCTTTTGAAAGCGGTGTATTTACAAAATGTCATTAAAGGATCAGCTTCATACCTTCTGTGCTTGCCCCATAAATGTACCTGGGCCCTGGGGTAGAGCATGGGATAGGCTAGCACCTGTTAATTGTGACTACTTCTGGAGAGGGTTGGCCAGGGTGAATTTCCAGTAGCCACTGTCCCCTTCCTTTCGCCACCTACCATAGCTTACAAGAAAAATTAGTCCCAATTTAGCATTCTATTGCTGAAGCTCCCAAGTTCAATTCTAGGTCAAGTCCAAACATATGACAAATATAAGGATGATGATGACTCACGTTTGTAGCTAGGAGTTTTAAGCCCAGCAGGGTACACACATGAAGCACACATTCTGAACACATAAATACATGACTTTTTTTTTCTGAAATGAGTGAATAATATATAAGCATGAAAATACATAGTCATAGAACACTTTACAAATTATAAAAAGATAATAGTCCTGGTTTATGGTTACAATTTGGCAGTCAAAACAGTTCCTAAAGGAGATTAGACTGCTGTTCCTCTTTCTAAATTCTGTTTAATTTCAGCTGTGTATTTCCCACAGAATCTTTCTGCTTTCTTGTTGAATTTGGCATTCCTTTCATTAATGTAGTCGATGTCTGCATCATCATTATAAGGACGTCTCCGGCTATACTTGTCTCGTTTTTCAATTCTGGAGGAAGGAAAAAAAAATTGACAAAATTCAAAATTGCCTTTTTTTGATTTTAATAAAACATGCCCAAATAGTTAACTAAGAGTAGAATCAGTAATGGAAACTATACAAAATTCTAAGCTGCTTTCTTTTTTTTTTTTTTAAAGATTTTATTTATTTATTTGACAGAGACAGAGATAGCAAGAGCAGGAACACAAGCAGGGGGAGTGGGAGAGGGAGAAGCAGGCTTCCCATTGCGCAGGGAGCCCGATGCGGGGCTCGGTCCCAGGACCCTAGGATCATGACCTGAGCCGAAGGCAGATGCTCAACGACTGAGCCACCCAGGCGCCCCTCTTTTTTGGTTTTAAGACTGAAAACAATCTCTTCAGGAAAAATTTCTTTGAAGAAGTATGTTCAATGAACTTTAATGAATTTTTTTTTTAAAGATTTTACTTATTTATTTATTCACGAGAGACAGAGAGAGAGAGAGAGAGAGGCAGAGGGAGAAGCAGGCTCCCAAGGAGCAGGGAGCCTGATGCGGGACTCGATCCCAGGACCCCGGGATCATGACCTGAGCCGAAGGCAGACGCTTAACCATCTGAGCCACCCAGGCGCCCTGAACTTTAATGAATTTTATAAGTTAATAGTACTGTCAGATGATTTAGTTTTAAGATTGGGAACACAAGTTCATGTTGAAAGTACAAGGGCAGTGACATATTACACTACTTTGAGAGAATTTATATATATATACTGCTGGTTCTGCCTAATAATTACCCTATTCAAACACAAATATACAAGTAATAGTGATGGGACCACTCTTCAAACTAGTAATTCAGGCATTCTTTAATTTCTACCTTCTGCTACACCACTTCAAGACCCCAGTTAATTTTGTCATGAGGCATGAAATCAGTACTAAAACTTAAGGCTGCATGATAGTACTTACTGCTTTTCCAAGTCTATGACCATCCTATCAATTTCCTCTGTGGAGGGTACATGTGTTCCATGAAGAAGACTGTTGGATGTTGGGTAAAACTCCTCTCCACTGAGAAAAAGCAAGGTGTAAGTAACACTATAAAGATTCTATACCATCAGAACTAGACAATGTTTAGTGGTCAAAAATGGAAACCTCTGGGATACTTGATTTCAAAGAAACGGAAATCAGACCTGAAAAAAGGTACTTAAGAAATCATCTACTCTAGTGCTCAAGTGAGGCACCAGCTGAGGACCAGAGGCTAATGGACTCACCCAACCAAGGCGTACAGTGAGAGAGCCTGAATGAGAACATGGTGTGCTCTGAACAATTTAGAGCTCTCTCCACTCCACTATCCTGATTAAAACAGTTGTGATCTTGTGGCGCCTGGGTGGCTCAGTTGTTAAGCGTCTGCCTTCAACTCAGGTCATGATCCCAGGGTCCTGGGATCGAGTCCCACATTGGGCTCCCTGCTCGGCAGGAAGCCTGCTTCTCCCTCTCCCACTCCCCCTGCTTGTGTTCCTGCTCTCGCCATCTCTCTCTCTCTGTCAAATAAATAAAATCTTACAAAAAAAAAAAAACCCAAAAAACAGTTGTGAGCTTAAGCACACTATCTGTCTTAGGGAAAGAGCAAGTGCAGCTTAGCACTGCTTACTGCACCTGATCAAAGTAGATATCCTCCATCAGTAATGGACACCGTAAGAGCAACAGTAATCATGATGATGATACTGCATACAGTACTATGTGCCAAACATTAAGTACATTGTATGAATGAATTCATTTAATCTTTACCATAACCCCATGAGGTAAGCACTATTATTCCCTGTATACAGATGAGGAAACAGGGAGAAAAACTGTGACACGTCTAGTAAGTGGTGGAGTCAGAACCCAAGGCCAGGAAGCAAAGCTCCAGAATCAGCACTCTTAAATTCAAGTCCTTCCAGGTAACATGCTAAGAATATACCATTAAATCACTTACAGTTTTTCTCTCAGTCTCTCGTAAGTTTCCATGTCAGGTTTGATCTGCTTGGTCAGCCAGTGATACTGGCATAACTGAGCAGCAGCATAATCTAAAAGGAGAATCCAGACTACTTTAGATGTCGGGGCATTATCAGACCTGTTACTAATAGGCCCGTTGAATAAAGTGAAAGCCAGTTTTACCGGAGAATCCCAGGTCGGGGTTTTTCCTCCTCTTCTTCCTCTCCCATCTCTCTGCGTCTTCTGCACTGATCTCCAGCAGCTTCACTTTCTCATAGTCCTCTCCTCTGGCTGCACAGTCCTAAAGAGGGGAGAAAACATTAGTTTTATTCCCTTATATAATTCTTTGATCCCTTTAAAATCAAGAGAGGCCTAAAGACTGCTATCAAGACTGTTTAAGTTGATTAGCTTGAAAAGAAAATTGTGTGCAATTTGCTATGATCTGTAAGAAGTAATGCATCTAGGGTTGCCTGGGTGGCTCAGTTGGTTGGATGTCTGGTCATGATCCCAGAGTCCTGGTATCGAGCACCATGTCAGGCTCCCTGCTCAGCGGGAAGTCTGCTTTTCCCTCTCCCTCTGCCCCTCCCCCTGCTTGTGCTCTCCCTTTCTCAAATAATAAAATCTTAAAAAAAAAAACAAAAACCCCACCAGAGCTGCATTTCTTATTAAAAAAAAAACCAAAAAACAAAAAGACACCTCTGTAACACTGACACCAAAAACAGCCATGGTGGACACATTAGGTGTCCATTAAAAGCCTTTCTCCCCTCTTTTCCTAGCTCATGGCTGCCCATTTCCTAACCTCCCCTGCAGTTGGATCAGGCCAGATGACTTGGGCTGCTCAACAGGGAGCTGATACATGAGAGACTCATGAGCTTTATAGTTGTTTTTTTTTTTTTTTTAAGATTTTATTTATTTATTTGACAGAGAGAGAGAGAGCACAAGCAGCGAGACTGGCAGGGAGAGGGAAAAGCAGGCTCCCTCTGAGCAGAGCCAGACGTGGGGCTTGATCCCAGGACCCTGGGATCATGACCTGAGCTGAAGGCAGATGCTTAACTGACTGAACCACCCAGGCGCCCCTATAGTTTGTTATTGTTGGAGCTTTTGTTACTGTAGCTTAGGCTCTTACTCTAATAGCCACTGCTTATGCCACGCTACGTGCCAGGCACTGCTGTTAAGTGTTTTACACATTTTAGTCTCCCAACTCTCTCAGAGCCGGAGTGCTCACCTTCCATGCCATATGCCGCCTCGACAAAACACAAGAGAATCCCGGAATCTACAGCTTGTGAGGATGGTGGAATTGTACTTACTTTTTTCTTTTCTTCTTCCTGCAGCTCCCATTCCAGACGAGCTTTTTTCGCCTCCCAGTTTGCAGGTAATTTAAGTCTTTTATCTTCCTCCACAACTTTCTGGTGATTTAACTTTCGAGCTTCATTCTACCACCAGAACACACAAAGTTTGTCGGCACAGGTATGGAAACAAATCTAAATAGACATTACCTGTCTTCTTGTATGGCAGGCATTCAAAGCAGATCTTTGGATTTTATCCTGAACGGCGGAGAGCCACTAGAGAATTTTACGTGTGTATTCGTGTTGGGGGAATTTTATGGAGGGGGAGATGAGGAAGTCAACACCTATTCCTATAACTTTAAATATTCTTTTACTACTTTCAAGGAACCAGGTGGTAGGGATGGAAAGAGCTATGGTTTGGAAGTAAGAAGACCCGAGGGATATATGGACTTGACTACTCTCTGGCTGTGTGATGTAAGCAAGTCTTTTAGGACTGGATTAAAACAGGGTTTCCCACAGCACAAGTTCCACTGACTGGGGAGACTTGAGAGGATTTTAGATGCTACTGAATGACACTGAGTCACACACTGAGAAGGTGATTCCATTTTCATGTCTCTTTTAATTCAAATTGGGTCCAAGACAAATTCTCAGCAACTAATGGGTTTAACACTTCTGAAAACACCTTTCCTAACACCTCCTTTTAAAAACAAATAGGGTAGGAGACACCATCAGAATGCAACCCACAAAATCCAGACCGTGGGAAGCTACAGAAAAAAAACAATCTTTTTTTCCAACCAAATCAAACAAAATGACCTCCCCCAACCCAAAACAAATAAAACACAAAAAAACTCAAAAAAACCCCAGAAACAGAAAAGATGAAAAGAGAACCTATAAAGACATAAAAATGTAAAATTCCTATCTTAAATAGTAATATTACATTTAAACAGCAATTTAATGATAAACACTGAGCAAGTGGACAAGTGGTCACATGTATAAACTGTGAAGGTGAGGGGAGAGAGACTCCAATCTAATGTTTATGAAGTTGTGAAAGTTTTTAGATCACAGAGTTAGTGGCAGAGTTAGACCGAGACCAAATTTCCTGATTTCTGGTTGTTTCTTTCCCCCATCTATGAGTATTTTCATATCTCCTTTTTTTAAAAGATTTTACTTTTAAGTAATCTTTACACCCAATGTGGGGCTTGATCACAACCCAAGATCAAGAGTTGCATACTCCACTGACTGAGCCAACCAGGCGCCCCTTTGATACCTCTTTAACAATACCACCATCACATTCCCAAAATAATTAATTCTTATCCTGTAATGTTCACATTTTCCTGATGGTCTCAAGTGTTCATTATTTTTTACAGTTTGAATTCAGACAAGTTCCATATATTGTGATTAGTCAATACATCTCTTAAGGTTTATTTAATCTATAGTTTCCTTCTCCATCTTTTTTATCCCCTGCTCTTTTGAGGACTGTGAAAATGATCAGGCTGACTGTCCTAGTTCCCAAAGTGCTAGTTGCCTCCCTATGATGTCCATTAATAGGCTCCGTTGACCCCTGTATTTGTTGTAAATTGGTCATTAGATCTAGTGGTTCCATTCAGTTCAGGTAATATTTAACAAGTCTACTTATATGAAGCTAGTGTTATATACTTCTATCAGGAGACACACAATCTCTGATTTTCTCCCTTTTTGTGATGTTTCCAGTTACTGATTACCTAGATCCAGTGATCCATTAAAGATTAAAAAAGCATGATGTTTGAATTATATTATTACTTCTTCACATAACATCCAGCCTACTCTTTACACAGTATTTCAAATTAAGTATGTGTGCCTGACTAGTTTTATTTTTAAATTTTTTATTGTTATGTTAATCACCATACATTACATCATTAGTTTTTGATGTAGTGTTCCATGATTCATTGTTTGCGTAAAACACCCAGTGCTCCATGCAGAAAGTGCCCTCTTTAATACCCATCACCAGGCTAACCCATCCCCCCACCCCCCTCCCCTCTAGAACCCTCAGTTTGTTTCTCAGAGTCGACAGAATGGGAGAAGATATTTGCAAAAGACATATCAGATAAAGGGCTAAGTATCCAAAAATCTGTAAAGAACTTCTTAAACTCAATGCCTGACTAGTTTTTAAACTGAGTTTTTCTGGGCAAATACAGATAACTACACTCACACATACCCTGTCCCCCGCTGCCTACAGGCCTCCCACCCTAATGAGGACTCTGCCTTTGCACTTGTTCTTACTGCTTGGATACCTCTTCCCTCAACTCCTTTACTTATCTGATAATATCCTACTCATCTTTCAAGCAGCTTAGCTGTCCCATTTGTCTTTAGTTGTCTTTTTCTTCTCTGAATTTCTGAGGCACTTTGTTCCTCCCTCTAACATACAATCACCAAGTGGTGGAGTAAGTTTTGGTTATGGGCCTGCCTCCATAACCAGACAGGAGTCTTACCACATTTACCACTGTATCCACACTAGCTAGTTGGTTATGGCACACTAGGAGCTCGGGGGTGAGTGGGGAGGAGGGTGTTAGGATGAATGAGTGAGTGGCCAACTTGCTGTGTGACAACAGACGAAACCAGTGTCTGGGTCCAGGAACGGATTAAGTGAGACATTCTAGAAGTGAGACCTAAGCATGGGCATTTTTAAAAAGTTCTAGAGTGATTCCAGTGTGCTACCAGGGTTGAAACCACCGGGAAAGATCTTTCTTCAGCACCGCGGGTCTGTCAGGCGCGCTGCTCCGGCTTGCCTGTCCCTCCACCAACGCTCACGGGCCGCCCAAGTGACAGGTCTCGGCTCCTCGGGGGCTACTCACCGGCTTCAGGTGCAGCTCCCGGAATTTGCGCAGCCTCTGTTCGCGCTTCTGGGCTGCCAGCTCCGCCGCTGCCGCCAGGGGCAGCTCCCCCTCCTCCGCGCTGTCCACCCGCACCTGCGGCGAGGACGACCGACTGGAGGCGGGACGGCCCGGGCCGGTTCCCCGCCGGTCCCGCCGGGCCGGGCCGAGCCCTCACCGCCGTCCCGACCCACGGTGTGTGCTCCTCTCTCCCTCGCATCGCCTCTACGTCTAGGCCAAACTTCTAGCCGCAGACGCCCTTATCCCCAACCCCTGGGCAAAGGCTGCCACCCACCCTCTCAGCCTCAGCCTCAGCGGCCATCAACCAGCTGCGCTTTACCCCTCATACTTCCGGCGACAACAAACTTTTCCGACTCTCTCGCTCACTTCCGGCAGCCTCCTGTCGCAGGTTTCGGGGAAAACCCCGCCCCTTTCTGCTCGCCCGGGAGAATGAGGAGCCAATCACCGCCCGTCGCAGCCCTGGGCGGCATCCGATTGGGCCAGGCCTGTGCGCAGGGGCGTGGAATAGCGACACCTGGGAGGCGCGGGTAAAACCGGAGAAGAGACCTGGCGTCAGCGCCGTCGGGACCGTAAAGCGGAAGAGGGGAAAAGGGAGTAAACTGCCAAATTTGTGAGAAAGCGACCCAAAGCACAAATTGTGCCCATCAACTGACGGACCTTATAGTTCAGATTTCTGAATACCAAATACAAAGCAGATTCACAGTTACCATCACGTCACCCTGTTTTAATCCCTGCCTAGCAGTTTAATTGTCGCCCCGCTCAGTACAACGTGAGCTCCAAGGGAACAGCTGATTCCTTGTGGCCCCAACGGTACTTGGTGCAGGGTATGAACTAATTTCATACTGTTGAATGAATTAATAGATTGGTTGGGGATTATTTGGTATCTGGAGCATTTTCGTGATGCAGAAAGATTTCTTGGATTAATTTGAGGCTTTGACTTTCTTCTGAAAATTCTGCACAGAACAGCATTCTTCATATACCTGTCCACTCATTCAATAGTGAACTGTATAATCGCTCTTATTTACTAACTAGTCTATTCTTCGGTTCACCATCTATGAAAAAGACAGTAAAGCAATACCCAGGTCACAGAGTAGTTTGAAGACAAATAAGATAATACGGGTGAAGTTATCTGTGACTAGTACCTGGCCCGTAGCAAATGATGAGTAATTGCTGACTTTTACCAGTTGGCATTAGATGTGCCCCTCTCCTGCCTGCAGTTTTCTTAAATGTCTTTCTTCAGGGAAGCCTTAACCTCCACCACCTGAAGAGTCAGTTTCCCCTCTTATAGCTCATCATATTTCTTCTTTGTTGCATTTACATAAATGTAATTAAATAAATGTGGAATTTCTTGTTTAATGCCGTTAATTTAAATGAGACAAATTTCTTAACCGCTATCAAAGAAGCAAATCTAGGCCTTTATTTTTTCTGTATCGTGGATGAATTGACAGACGAGTCTTACATGTATTTACATTCTTTAGGAATACAGAAATGTCAGTGACAAAATTATTTACAGTAAGATCACATCAGAATTACAGGTTTTACAAAATATTTTGTCAGAACCCTACAAACTGAAACCAAATAATTAAGGAGAGTTTAATGAAGGGACTGTTTACAAAGTTGTAGACTGGGTTAAGAGAAACCAGCAAAAGAAAGTGAAGCATTCCAGGGCTAGCAGCAGGGGGAAGCCATTGCTACCCCTAATCCTAAAGAGGTAAGGGAAGGATAGGATAGGAGAAAGTCTTCAGACGGAAGCCGTGACTAAACAAACCAGCCCATAATCCAGGCAGGGAATAAATATCCTGACCTCATTTCTTCCAGACTTCTTATCTTCTGTAGGTGCCAGTCATTGGAAGGATCCAATGAGAAGAGAGCAATAAACAAGAGAGCTTATTGATGCTTTTTTTTTTTTTCATGGACCAATCTAAGTTATTTGTTTAAGCCATCTCCTCCCATAAGCAAAGGGATGGAAGATCAGTATACTGGTCATCATTTGATACAAGTAAGGAAGGTGAGCTTAAGGTCCCATAGACTTCTGGTCCGTGTGCAGAGTCATGGTCCAAACCAGTGCTGTGGTCCCCACTGGGTGGTGGTCCAGGTTCTCTCTATTCATCTTCATAGCCGGTTGGAAGTGGATTCACGTGAGAGTTATGGAATAGAGTATGATTACCATCTCCCCAGGGAAAGGGCTTGGACCTGATGCGGAGATGGGGGTAGGCGACGAACTCGGGTCTCTCGTGCTCTCCGTGATGCGACTTCAGGAAGACATTCAGCATGCTCACACCCACGCCAGGGAGCGCTACGAAGTAGGTGAGAGCCTTCCACATGCGAGCTGAGCCCTCCTCTCTGTGGGCGCCACTCGACATGGAACGTCCCAGCTGTGCCCCGGACAGACCTAGCAGCCCAGACAGCCGAGACACAGACGCCGCCGCCATTTTCGACCTGGACTTTTTTTTTTTTTTTGTCTTATAAACACCAGAAATATATTTCTTGTAGTTCTGGAGGCTGAAGGCCTGAGATCATAGAGGCCAGCACTCATGGGTGCAGAACAGAGTGGACACTGGTGGAAGGTGGTTCTAAAGGAGCAAACAAAGTATCTAGCACAATTCTTTTCATGGGACATGGTAACAATTTCATCATTTTTTGTAGTCTTAGAAGAGCTCTTTGTTCAAGTTATACTTTACATATGTTTATAAGCTTGTAACAAAGAACAGAACAAGTGTGGCCAGCTGAATTTCCCAAGATGAAAGAAGATCTTCCATCCTAGGTGCTATTCTTAACAATGTGACATTGACACACCTCCCAAGGAGATGTAAGATCTATACCCCTAATCCTTGAATATGTGACTACGGAAGAAGTGACACTATGTGACTTCTGAGGCTAAGTCATAAAAGGGGAAGCAGATTCCACCTGGTTCTTTTGGGATGCTTGTTTTTTGAACCCAGTCACCATTCTTTGAGGAAACCCAGACCAAATGGAGAGGTCATGTAGGACTGAAAATTGGTACAATCCTTAGGGAAGGCAATATTTATAAAAATTACAAAGGCGTTTACTCTTTGACACAGCTATTACACTTCTGGGGATTTATGCTACAGGTGCAATTGCACAGATATAAAATGACTTATGTACAAGGATTGCTTAGGGCATCTATTTGTTTTCTCATATGATTTAGTAAAGATGACATGATAGCAGATTCATTGGGTGAGAACACACAATATTCTTTGTTGGCTGTCATTTAACGCTTGTTGGGTAAATTTGGTAAAGCCTCTGTATACATCATAACATCTTGGCCAACACAGAGAACAAAAACAGTGGGATGAATTCTCCCTCATGCCCAGGGAAAGCCAGGGTGCGATGATCTAACCATCCAGGTGGAAATCATGGCCTAAGATCCATGCCACATAACCACTGAGCTCCATTCAGAGCTGCTCAGTAAACACCTGGACAGTGTGACCTATTGGTGCCAAACCGCTTTCCTTCAGTATAACAGAATGCTCACAAAGTTCCAGATATCCATCCCACATCTTGGATGTAATTGGGTTGGTTCTGTTTAGAGTGATTTTGTTGTTGTTGTTCCCAACACAGGGGTGCCTGGGTGTTCAAATGTTCATATCCTGGGGTAAACCACATAAATCCATCCCAAATGTGGGTATAGCCACCCATGGTTCTGACCGTCATATTTTAGGATTCTTTTGGTTAACACGTTGGTGGGCTGCCTGCATAGTTTGGTTAACAGAAGAAGAATACTTATGTCCTGTGTCATTAATAGTGTGTGTTGTAGGCCAGGCTTCTGGATCAGGGTCACTAATGTCAGATGTACTAAGGATACCAATCTCAGCATGTTCTTCCTTAATGTGTTGCATTAGGACCTTCCAGTCACCCCCCAGGAAGTGGTAGTATCCACCATGGTAATTCTAACAAGCTAGAGAGAGGAAGCTGTCCACATATTCAACAGTTGGATTGATTTTTATTTTGGGCAAATGAGTGGGCCTCCTGCAGAAAGACATTTCCATCAGTTGTCCATCCATCACTGGACACCAGAGGATAGACAGAAACCCAACCAAATGATTTCTAAAAATTATATGATTGTACTTGGGCTATGAATTTTCTGTGGATTTATTGCCCATCTCTATTGGGGAAATTAATAAAAGAGCTCCAGGGCTTTGGGAGCAAATGTGAGGCAAACTCACATTTGTATCTGTGTTAACCTAAACCAGTTCTAAAGAACTGGAGTTTATTAAAGAGGGTATTTTACCACCAGCAGAGAAGCCTGACCTTGTTTCAAAGATCAAAAGTCATGAGAATTCCAATCAGAAGGAGTAATATTGCAAATATTTCAACTGGCTTAATCATCCTATAAAATGCTCATATAGCCTTCAAGTTTCCTTAAATATTAAGTATTTAGGCACCTAAGTATTCATAAAACTCCCCAATATAGACAAGTATTTCTATAATCAGAAATGCAAGGATCAGGTTTCCATGTGTGAATAAAACTTTGGATAGTAGAGCTGGTATAACAATCATAGGATAAGAGGAATAGGAGAGTATAAAGTATGATGAAAAAAAATTTTTTTTGAAATTGTAATATACAGGCCTGGTCCAGAGTCTTGGGATAGCTGTCTACTCAGATGTCACCTGCTCCTGGGATGTCATAACTTTTAATTTTCTGATAGCGATGGATTGCCCACCAGGTACTAGAGCTTTCTTTAAATGAGAACCGTGAACCCAAGAATCAATGCCTTTGAGTTTAACTGCACAAGGATTTGTCCAAGGTAACCTGGTAGGGTCTTTTCCATTGAGGCTATAAAGCATCCTTATGGAGATGTCTTTTCCAATAGAATCTCCAGGTTGAAGGTGGTGCTGTAGGATGTCTGTCTCCTGGGAGCACTCTGTGGAAGAACTTTTCTACCAAGCATGCATTTTCTTTAAGGCCTCTATCACCCCTTGAAATATTCAAGCATTTATCCTTTAATTAATAAAGGTTCATGAACTCCCGACCTTAATCTCATAGGTCTCCCGGGTATGATCTCAAAGGGCAATAATTTATGTTTTTTGAAAGGTGTGCACCTTAAATTTAATAATATAACTGGCAGTAACTTAAGCCAGGGTGAGTTAAAGCCTTCTCTAAATTTAACTAGTTGGGTTTTAATTATACCATCTGTCCTTTCTGCCAATCCTGATTACTAATGAAAATGTAAAATAGGCCAAATATCAAAATTGTCTTAATTATTTGCCCACTAATGGGTCCGTCGATTGCTGTGCAATTCAGATGGGATTCTCCCATTGGGAGTGATATTTCCTAATTATAACTTGTCTATTGCTGATGCAGTGGCTCTGTGACAGGGGAAGCCTTCTGCCCAATGGGCATATATACAAATCATTACCAACCCATATTTACATCCCTGAGAGGGTGGCAGCTGGATAAAATCCAATTGGCATACCTCAAAGCGTCCTGAAGGCAGTGGGAAATGCC